ATCACTTCCGAGGCTCACCGTTCAGCCGGGGATTGGACAGCCTCATAAAACGAAACGGGACTAATGAGACACAGCAATCCAGGGACAAGGACTGGGGCAGAAGGGAACAGGAAATCTGGTGATAGGGAACCCAAGGTTGAGTAAGGGCAGTGTTGACATGTAGTGGGGTTGTTAACCACTGTCATAGGGCGACATGTGTACTGTTTAATGAGAAACAATTTTGTTCTGTAAGCCTTCATCTAAAGTGAGAACAGCAGCACAACTGGAAGAGCGTAGTCAATGTCACTGAACTGTGCATGTAGAAATTTTTGAAATGGTGTATCTTTGGCTATGTTTATTTTCACCAGAAAAAAACGTCGAGACAGGAGAGGGTTGACATGTTGTGGGGTTGTTAATCAATGTCATAAAACAATATGTGCACTGTTTCGTGAGAAAATATTTGTTCTGTGAGCCTTCACCTTAAGTACAATTAAAAATAAAATAAAATAAAGTAAGAATAGCAGCACAACTGGAAGAGCATAGTCGATGTCACTGAACTGTGCATGTAGAAATTTTTGAAATGGTGTATCTTTGGCTATGTTTATTTTCACCAAAAAAAGAAAAAGGTCGAGAAGGGAGATGGCTGACATGTTGTGGGGTTGTTAACCAATGTCATAAAACAATATATGTACTACTGTTTAATGAGAAACTATTTGTTCTGTAAACCTTCACCTGAAGTACAATAAAAAAAAAAAAAGAAATGCATGTGCCCATAGAAAAAGTGATCTCTCTGCTACCCAACACATTCACACACTTTCTACACAATGGCAAAGAGCTTAAGGTGCTCACAATAATTATACTCTCTCTCATAAGGTAAAATTCCAAAATCCATGTAAACATATGTATCTACTCTAGCAAATACTTCAGTATAAATTTCAATAAAAATCCATTTCCTCTCGCTACTATGAGAATATTAAAATACAAGGTTGCTTACACATTCAGGCACGTGTGGTATGAACTGCATGTATGAGGAGGATGCTTACTTTCGCCATAATTAATCCATAACTGCACTAATTTTATGTCTAACTTTAACTCTCCAACTTGTTTTCCCTGCTTTATTACCATTTTGCCCCTTAAATTTTACTTATATGTATTGTATCTGCCTCTATTACATGTATCTACATCATCTGCCTTAAATCCTTTTCGGTGCAAGGCAGGGAAAATGATCAATCAATCTAGCAATCAAAACAGTTACACACCTCATGAACGCTCTGATCACTGCTATACAATCCTTGTCTTTTCTTTCTACTAAAATTCTCCTGAGGAAAATGTACTGCTATTTGTGTGTGCGCGCGCGTTCTCTTATATGCCCATTGTAAAATGGTAACGCTGCTAGTAAACTAATTTTAAAGAGAGAAACTGATGAAAAATAATTTTATATGGCAGGCATAGCACTTTCTCTTAACTGTTTTAAAGCTCTTGACCTTTGGACTTCTTCATATGATTGCATACGTAAAATAATAATAACAATAATAAAAATTCTAAGAGTAATAATGCATGGTAACTGCAAAAAATATGGAAAATACAAAAAAGCATAAAGATCAAATTAAAAGACCCCATAATTCACCTACCCAGAGAAATTACTTTTCACATTTCATTGTATCTTACTTTTCTTTCTCATGCTACAATTCACCCTGCCAACATCTGCTTTTACCCAATTTTCCTCTGCCCCAACAGAGGTCAGTCTTCCCTACACAATCAGACACGCACAACTTCAATGTCAGGGTCCTCTAGCAAATCCTGCTCACAGCACCAATTGTGCAAACCAGTTCATGGAGACTAAGATTACCCACCTCCGATGCCAAACCGCGTGGTGGATAACAAATCCCACTCCACATTCCAGCTGCATCCTATGGAAATCTCAGCTTCCCTCCCCTATTCAGGCTCATGCAGCCCTTCTCTTATCCCCACCCACCCAGAGCTGGCTGAGCAGGTTACCATTCGCAAACTCAGATGTCCACAGGACTCTGACACTGCAGACTGAAAACTAAAACACCAAACTCATTGCTATCAAGTCGATCACAACTCACAGCGACCCTACAGGACAGCGTAGAACTGCCCCATAAGGTTTCCAAGGCTGTAATCTTCATGGAAGCAGACTGCCGCATCTTTCTCCCGTAGAGTGGCTAGTGGGTTTGAACTGCAGACTTTTCAGTTAGCAGCCGAGGGCTTAACCACAGCACCACCAGGGCTTCTTCACTTCAGACTAGCCAGCCCCAAACCTAGGGTTTTCCTCTACCACCTCAGGGTACCAGCCACAAGCCTGGGAATCTACATGACTCCTTCTACTTCAAGCCAGCCGGCTCTCCCTGCTCTTTTGAGTCTAATAATTTGCTGGAAGGACTCACACAGCTCACAGGAGACACCATACCTGCAATAACATCTTCAATATAACAAAAAAGGGTACAAGTGAAGAGACGCATAGAGCGAGGTCTGTAAGGAGTAACAGTGCGAAGTTCCCATGTCCCAAAGAGGGACGCAGTACCCTCTCCCATGCATGGTCACCAACCAGAAAGCTCCTGGAACCTCCATCTTCCAAAGTCTTTATCAGACTCATCACATGGCCATGACATATTATAACATGCCTAGGAGGCTTAGTCAGCATCGAGCCCCTAGATGGTCCCTCTTGGGCTGTTCAGTACCCTACTCATTAGCCTCAGGTGCTGGTCTCGTTCTCAGGGACCAAGATAGAAAGCCAAATGGCTTTCTGAAAAGTGATTCCACTCCTTGCAACAACCTCAGACTTTTTCATTCACAAACACATTCTCACATACACAGACCCTGCTTCTACCTAGATGAGGTTCAATAAGGAAGCAGTAAATTTAATGAGTGTCATAATCAGCTCTTATCCTGCCTTTCAGAGTTGTTCATGTCTTTGATTTCCAGTTCATTTGTATCTGTAAACTCACTAAACTCATCAAAATGTTACCTTCTTTACCTTCAGTAAAGTCAGTCTTCTATATGCCTACATAAAGTGCCTCTGGTTTTAACTCCTGTAGCATCAAAATAGGTCATCTCTAAGTGTTACCCTAAAACCTCATTTAAAATATATATACTTCCCTCTCAAAATCAATGGATCTACAGTTACAAGCTGCTATTCATAAGGCTTTCACTGGCTAATTCTTTTCAGAAGTAGACCGCCAGGTCCTTCTTCCTCGTCTGTCTTAGTCTGGAAGCTCAGCTGAAAGCTGTCCACCATGGGTGACCCTGCTGGTATTTGAATACCAGTGGCATAGCTTCCAGCATCACAGCAACACGCAAGCCCCCACAGTACGACAAACTGACAGACACATGGGGGACAACATGTTATGGATAACACTGCAGAGAACAGGAATTCCAGAACACTTAACTGTGCTCATGAGGAACCTGTACATAGATCAAGAGGCAGTCGTTCGAACAGAACAAGGGGATACTGCATGGTTTAAAATCAGGAAAGGTCTGCATCAGGGTTGTATCCTTTCACCATACTTATTCAATCTGTATGCTCAGCAAATAATTCGAGAAGCTGGACTATATGAAGAAGAACAGGGCATCAGGATTGGAGAAAGACTCATTAACAATCTGCGTTATGCAGATGACACAACTCTGCTTGCTGAAAGTGAAGAGGACTGGAAACATTTACGGATGAAGATCAAAGACCACAACCTTCAGTATGGATTACACCTCAACATAAAGAAAACAAAAATCCTCACAACTGGACCAATAAGCAACATCATGATAAATGGAGAAAAGACTGAAGTTGTCAAGGATTTCATTTTACTTGGATCCACAATCAACAACCATGGAAGCAGCAGTCAAGAAATCAAACAATGTGCTGCACTGGGCAAATCTGCTGCAAAAGACCTCCTTAAAGTGTTGAAAAGCAAAGAGGTCACCTTGAAGACTAAGGTGCACCTGACCCAAGCCATGGTGTTTTCAACCACCTCCTATGCATGTCAAAGCTGGACGATGAATAAGAAAGAAGAACTGATGCCTCTGAATTGTGGTGTTGGAGAAGAATACTGAATATACCATGGACTGCCAAAAGCATGAACAAATCTGTCTTGGAAGAAAATACAACCAGAATGCTCCTTAGAAGCAAGGATGGAGAGACTACATCTCACATACTTCAGACATGTTGTCAGGAGGGAGCAGTCCCTAGAGAAGGACAACCTGCTCTGTAAAGTAGAGGGTCAGTGAAAAAGAGGAAGACCCTCGACGAGATGGGCTGACACAGTGGCTGCAACAATGGGCTTAAGCATAACAACGATTGTGAGGATGGTGCAGGACCGGGCAGTGTTTCATTCTGTTGTACATAGGGCCATTATGAGTCGGAACCGACTCAACTGCACCTAATAACAACAACAGTCACAAGATTAATCTACAAAAGAAAACATGTCCTACTGAGCTGATGGCCCTCTACATGCGATGACTAAGTCTTTCGTTTTATTCCTGTCTAGGAATACTTCATTCAGGATGCCAAAGGTGGCATTAAACAATTACTGATGCCTGAAACTAAACAGAAATGTATTTTTGTGACATAATGATAGATTTCACTACAGTATGGAAGTAATTACATCGGGATCTATGAGATATAATTATTTTGAGACTTAAACTGGTCCCATACTTCTTAGAAAGATTGTTTTACTTTGGATCTCTTCCACAGCTGTCTATTTAAAGTGAAACAACAGAAGTTGGTTAATGTGAAAACACTTTACATGCTTGTTACTGAGATTAAAGTAAGTGGAAGGGTACAAGACACATGTAATAAAAATATGTATGCATTTCTGCCATGAAGTATTAATAAAAAAGTAGACAAGGCAATATTCTTTCCCTACTAAGAAAGAGATCAGAGAAGGTCTACTCAATCATTCCTAGCAGAAAAACCAACCACCATGAAGTAACATTCTTATGTAAAAGTTGTTTCCTTTATGTCCCCGTCTTGATAATTCACTCTTGATGGCAAACGTCTTGTGCATTACCTTGCAAGTCTGAATCGTTCGACTTTGGACTGCTTCTTGCTCGCCGCTCTGTTTTCTTAATTCCTGGCCCACCACCGCTGCCGCCTCCCCCGCCTCCACTGCTTCCACCACTGTGGCCTTTCCCGTAGCCATTGTACACTGTCGTGCAGTTGGGTTTGTAGATAGAAGGAGGGCTATTGAGGCGGTTCTGGCGGTCAATCTGGCGGTCTTTCAGTTTTTTGTGCGGAGGTTTGCTGTACTGGTCTTCTCGAGTAATGTAGCTTGACATTCCATAGAGTGGTATAATTTCTAAAACGGATGATTATCACAAATGCAAGCTCAGTCTACAGTTCTAATAAAAAATTATTAAATGGTCAAACAACCTGCACTCTGGAGGAAGAAGTTTAAAGTAGTATTAAATACAGGATAAAACATATACTTTAAAAAGTGCTATATACACATGTAAGTACATGTTCAAAATATTCATTTGCAATCAATCAAGAAATATTCATTAAAAACCATACTGAGTGTTCTGAAATGTTCCAGAAATTATAGGGAACACTGAAGAAGGCAAGGTTACTGCCCTTAAAGAGTTCTTACTCCAGCTGAATTTATAACCAAATTTGATTGTGTCTTTCAAAATGTTTTTAGTAGTTGCAATACACAAAAGTTAGAACAAATAAAATAGCCCTTTTAAACGTGCACAACACTTAAATCCAAGATACCTAAAAGAATACTTATCCTTGTAGACAGAATAGTATTTCTATTGGAAAGTGTATAGCAATCAGAATATAAGGAGTTATTTGTGGTATCCCGAAGAGCCAACATTTGAACACTTACTAAAATAATGAGAAGTTCCCATTAAAAATAATCAGTGCTCACAGAATTTGGGGAAATGTTCAAGGAGGGATCTTAGGGGTAAAGATATACCATTTCCACAACCTGGTGCCAAACGCAGTTAAGCTGTGGTCTCGGACTTCTCTTTTTGGAGTCGTCATGAGGCAAGACAAATTGACTAGTAGAGTGTCAGCTGGCTTACAATGCATATTTTTAGAGTGGCTTAAAAGAAAATGAGGGCCTGAAAAAATAATCTCATGATCCTGGGGTGGGGAGGGACTATCATTTTATTTTTAAATTTTAATCAGTTTAAAATTATCCCTAAGCATCAACAAAAATGGTTAATTAATAATATAGAAGTTGAGTCTTTAAATCTTTATAAAGAAAAAGGGGTCCTCATACACAGGGACCATTAAATTAACATCCAAACCTTAACACCTCTGAGAGTGAAAAGAAGTATGATGAATCATTTTTCTGGGACAAGAGACCTAAATCACAACAGTCCCTGACACACCAGGAATGTATGATCACCCTACATATTTTAACATTGATGCTTCAATTGCTCAGTGGTAAAGCTACACTTTTATTTTCTTTCCATTCACATTTCTTAAGGAAGACCTTTAAAAGAAATCAATTTGCTTCAGAGAACATGTAAAACAAATAAGGTTCTATTCTGAGAGAATATGTCCAAGTAAACGATGTCAAAATACACAAGAAGGATGGTAAATGTTTTAAATATTACAATGTATTATATTTGAGATTTAAAATACATGTGATTGATATTAATATAATTATTAATCTTTCAAAACATGTTGAGGACTTTTTTAACTCCTATGGTTTAAGACAATGTTTAAATTGCTTCAGGTATGCACATTCAGAACTAAGGTGAGAAAACACATAAATGGCTTTATTTATGAAGTAAAATGGGATTTGGTTTTACTGTCTTTAATTTGAAACCAGTGAAGGCACTTTAATTTGTACACTATTGTTCTGTGTGATTTTAATGAAATTAGACTAATATAAAATGAATTTTTTTTTTTTTTTTTTTTTTTTTTTTGCTTAATACTACTGGTAATTTAAATCACATTGTTGGTGAACCCAGCAGCTGCTCCTCAGAAGATGTGGCAGTCTGCTTCCATAAAGTTACAGCCTTGGAAATCCTATGGGGCAGATCTACTCTGCCCTATAGTGTTGCTTATGAGTCAGAATCAACTCAAAGGCAATGGTTTGGTTTTTATTTTTTATTTTTTGGTTGGCTTACTAAAATTGCAAGGGGTACTATTCAGAAAACAGTGACCATCTGAAATACTATTAACAGACTTTTAAAATAAGGCAGGTCAGATATTCCTCAATAAAGATAAATCAGTAGCCAAAGTTTTTCCCAACGGCATCATAGCTCAGATCCTGAAAACTGGCAAATGCTCAAATATTTAATGTATGTTGTGTCAAAGCACTGAATACTTTTTAAAAATTACCATTAACTGAATTTTTTCAGTTTTTATCCAAATGTTCTCATGGCATGCACACTCCACCTAATATTTATGGGTGTTACATTTTAGGCAAAGATCATTAATAAGTTATTGATGTCTCCATGAAATCAAAGTGTTGACGATTTCATACTTTTGCTATTATCTCCCTATACAACAATATGACAGCACCTGATTATTTGAAATTATGCTACATTTCTTTCTGATTACTGAAAAATAAGTAATCAAATTCTGTTTCTAAGCTACAACAAGATATTTCACTTGAAATATCCATCTCAAAATTTTTCTTTTGTGAATGAGAAAACATGTGAACATACAGGGGAAATACATGTTTGTGTATGTGTAAATGATAAGAGAAAGTGAGGTAAGAACTTGTTCAAAAATTCTATGCTATCACAGACATTTCTAATATAATTTAACTGACCAAACATAATAATGTTTAAAGTAGAAAAAACGCTTCAATTTACAGACTCTGAGGGAAATCGCTTTTCAAAGTCCAAGAGGTTGAAGTCTAATTTTTAACTTCATTTATCTGGGTTCTTAGTATCCATTCTGATAGAGGCAGGCTTTAGACTAAACCAATACCAAGGCCAAACTAAAAGGCATAACGTAGGTAGCTCTGAGGCTCTTTTCCTTTCAAGGTAAGTATTTGCTTAACAACCAGTGAAGTTGTAGCTGCGCTAAGGGCTACAGTTAAACTGAAAATAGGGCTCAGGAGGACTACATCAACAGCGAGGGAATTCTGAGTTCTGCCAAGATTGTTTAACACAGAACACTCACATGTCCCAAAGGTTATTGAGATCTCACACCATTCTAACATTGAAAACAGGGCACATAACACTTTTCAACATCCCTTCTTCTGCTAGGCCATAAGGATGCCAAAAAATAACACGTCGCAGTTCTGCCTCAGGCGACTCTCACGTAAAAATGTTTACAGGACATGGGAACACACAATAGATCACTGTCTATTTTCTAAAATAAAAAGTGGCTATCCCGATCGCTCCCTGATATTTGTGGTACTTGAGTCGGGGTAGAGAATTGAGAAAATTAGATCTGGAACCCACAAAGTAATCATACAAGATCTAACAGGACGAAGGAAACTAGGGATTTTCCACGAGTTAATACACCACACAGATCCCTTTCTACCATGCTTAGTAGAGATGAAACAAAGGGCTCTCTTACACTACCGAAATGCTGCAACCAGTTTCAAAAGCTCCTGATGAAATATTCTACTCACCTTGTTCGCCATATATTGTTGGGGGAAGATGATGCTGCGGAAAAAACTGAGGCGGTATATCTCCAGGTCCAGTAACAGGTGGGTAGTAAGCCGTGTGTGAGTTATGAATAAAATGTGGGTGGTGAGGCATGTAGGGGGGTAGGTGATGGGTCGGAGACATAGCTGAGGGGTAGCTCGGAGGGTAACACTCAGGAGACTGGGGTGTGACCACCACCCGACGGACTCCAGTACTGTCTTCAATCACCTAAAGAAAACAGCAAGAGGAAAGAGTGTAGCACATATTATTAGCAAACATCCTATGAACGTATATCATGTTAATAAATTCCTCAAATTTTAATTTTCTCTCCCCCACAGAGAAAGGAATTTTTAGTGCATGTTGAATTCTAGTTCTCTAATTCAATCAGCAAGGAACCCTGGTGGTGCAGTGGTTAAAGCACATTGCTGCTAACCAAACTGTCCGACAGTTCACACCGACCAGTGGCTCCGCAGGAGAAAAGATGTAGCAGTCTGCTTCTGTAAAGAGTTCAGCCTTGGAAACCTATTGGGGTAGTTCTACTCTGTCCTATAGGGTCTCTGTGAGTCAGAATCAACTCAATGCCAAAGGGGTTTTTTGTTAATTCAACCAACTAAATGCGTTCTATAAGTAATAAGGTTTAACAATTAAAATTTATGAAAATTAACTTTTCATCAACCAACTGCTTCTCTACAATCACTCTGTACAACCTTTGCAAAGATCAATAGATTGATGCTAAAAATCTCATTTTTCTCATAAAATTTTCAGTGGCTTCATTCAAGACAAGTAAATTCAATGTGTGCTTAAATTACTTTTAAGAATAACTTTAAAAATTAATTATAAAACCTACTATATAGCTACAGTAGTCAAAACAGCCTGGTACTGGTACAACGACAGATACATTGACCAATGGAACAGAATTGAGAACCCAGATGTAAATCCATCCACCTACG